AAAAAAAAAAAAATTATGCAGCATCTTCATAATTCACACTCTGAGGGAGGTGGTGTTTTCTAAACTTTACTGTTCTAATGGTGATGTAATGGATAATTGGGTGACCAGTTGTTTATCTAATTGATGAAGCTCACAACAAAGGATGTATGACAAGGAACCTGAGTTTTTAAAATATCATGGGAATTGAGGGCCACTCCTGGTATTTCATGAAAAGGCAATAAGAAATATTCATATAAATGGGTCTCTATTTAACTCTAAGTACTAGTATAGTAACAAGTCAAAGGGAAATACTTAACTCTAGTAGCTAAATTTCATATACACTGTCATAAACAACATATACACTGTTGATGACCTTGCTCCTAGGGGCCTTAGATTTCCCTTCAATACATTAGACCAGATCACATGGTCTCAGGGCAAGAAGTCATCATCTCCATTGCTTCACCACCCCTAGATTCTCTGTATGTAAAACTAATGATTCATTAGGTGATTGATGAAAGGCCAAGATCACAGACAAACTGAAATTTGCATGCAATACATGATCATTCAGTATCAGAATACATAGGTATTTGTCCATTATAACAAAGATGGAGGAAATGAGGCCCCTGTTATGAGTCAGTTGGGTTCCTGATCCATAGTAAAACTACAGGTCCTCAGAAGGCTTGTCAGAATTACACTCAGGAGGTAGCATAGAACACTGAGTGAGGACCCAAATGTTCATGGAAAAGTGTAAAATGGAATGGAGACAAGGAAGATACTAAAAAGGAAGAAGATTAACATGAGGATATAACAAATGTTAGGTAAAAAGAACATGCTAGGGTAGGATGATGCCTTCCTGTCTCCCTTATTTAGTATCTGTCAATGTCAACACATCAATGGAGCAATATGTGAGACCTGTTAGAAGTTGGCAAAGAAAGCCGACTTTTAACATTCTACTTAGTTTGTAGATAATAGGATTATGGTATAATAAACATAAACACTACCTCTGACATTCAAAAAAGACACAAAATTTACCAACAGCCAAGAAGCTGGGGTGGGGACTCACCAGAGATGGCACCAATACCTTGTTCCCTCTGCTGTGCACTGGCCACCACAGTGTGGGTTTTTAGGACTGGTGGCTGTCCATCATGCTCAACTTGGCAGGTGAATAACATGTCCTCTTCATGGGCAGATACATTCACCAAGAGCCAGCTGGTCCAGCTGTAGGTTCCGTCCTTGTTTACTGTGAGTGTAGAAGGCTTTTCTATCTGGGATACTTTTCCATTCTCAAACCAAATCAGCCGAAGGCTTGAAGGGTAGAACTTATTCACTTGGCAGGTGACATTTATATGATTCCATACAACTAATGGCTGCTGGCTGATCTCCAGGGTGGGTGGAACTAAAAAAAGACAAGCAGAAGCTGAAACAGAACCTAGACTGACAGATTCCAGATGAGGGGATGAAGTGAGGAGGACCAACCCTGTTGCAAGTGCATTTTGGGGACAGGACAAGTTTTTGTGATGGAGTACAGCTACTAAACACAGCACCTAACACACAGGAGCACAGGCAGTGGAGGGGTGAGTGTCATAATAAGTGAAATTAATAATCACAACTCCCCGTGCACTGGGATATCAATAACAGCAGTAAAACACATGAAAATGCCAGGACTGAGGGGTGGCTCATAATCAGTATAGCTGTGATTTCTTCTGTTACAATAAATATAATTTCCTTTATATGCTGATCATAGTCTATGATTCCCATCTCCATATGATATACATGAATGTTTGCTGGGAACTATGGACCAAACCATTCTGAACAGAAATGAGCTTGAGCTGGGATTGAACATCATTTACCTCGGATGATGTCAGACAAGTTGGCAGTTCCAAGGAGAGGACCTCCTTGCAAGGTGACATGGGCCACCTCACAGATGATCTGAGACCAGATATCCTCAACAACCACTACCACCCGGGTTGTGCTGAAGACACTGTAGCTTTCTCCTTCAGGGTTCACAGTAGTTTGGACATGAGAGAGCTCATTTCTATTTTTGAACCACTTCACTGTGATGTTCTGAGGGGAGAAGCCATGAGACCTGCATGTGTAGCTCACTGTCTGCTCACCTACAGTTCTGGATGCAGGGCCCAAAACCACAGGAGGAGATGGTTTAGCTAAAAAGAAGCATATAGACAAGGTTTTAGTTGTGATGGTCACCACTGATGACATAACATTGTGAAGAACTTTCCTAGATACTGTCACCATCATCATTGTTTAATGTGGTGCTTGGTAACAATACCAGAGCTTCAGCCACAATGACATGTTCTACTCCAAGGTCATAGCTGTGTTCTAGCTACAGTCCTTAACTGTTCGTTCTCCTCAAGGCTTTTTTGGTTTGTTTTTATCCAGGGTTTTGTCCTGGTCCTTCTGTGGTATCCCTCGTTCTTTTGTCTCCACAGTTTAGCACAGATGCCCAGGAAGAAATGAGGAAGGACAAAGCTAGGTGGAATTCTCAGCCTCAGCAAAAAAAGACAATTACTAGTACATTTTATATTTTCTATCATCTGCTCCTGCTAGCTTCCTCTGGAAACCTAGCAAATCTAGGAAAAATATTTGTAGATTTACATCTATAGTAGTAACCCAGGAAATAAATGACATCACAGAGGTACCACAAAGCTAGAGCCCTTCCTGCTTCCCCCAGTTGTTTGCTTTCTTTCCTTAACTATATGCTAGTAGGTCTCATCTGTGCCAAGTCTATATTTAACATTGAGAGCTCACTAGTCTGCATCTCTAAATGGGCTTCAGGTGGACTTAGCTTGAGGTTGAAAACAGTGCTTACCCTCTGCAGAAGAAGCTAAAGGTGGTTCATTTCCTAATGGTTAATCATAAGAGACACAGGTAGGTATGAGCCTGTTGAGCAGATAGTAACACTCCCTGGTTGAAAGCACAAGTATGGTTGGATAAGTGGTAGGAAGGCAATGTGCCTGGTAGATGTCTTGGCTGACATTATTATGTGTATCAGGCTGCATTTGGCGATATCATATACGTTTATATTTCTACGTATATGACTCCTGATTTGTGCATCAAACCAGGAATGTAAACAAGTTTTATTTGAATTTAAGCAATCTAAACACTAGCAGACCTGGTTTGAGAGATGTGGTAGTTTGAATGTATTTCACCTCCATAAGCACATAGAGTGGCAATATCATGAGGTGTGGTTTTGTTGAAGGAAGTGTATCACTATAGGGTGGGCTTTGAGGTCTCATTTGTACTAGTTATGCTCAGTGTTAGACACATTTCACTTACTGTTGCTTGTAGATCAATATTAGGACTCTCAGCTCCTTCCTCAGCAACATGTCTGCCTACATGCTGCCATGTCTTGCCATGATGACACTGTTTTAAACCTCTGAAATTGCAAGCTACCCAATTAAATGATTTCCTTTATTAGAGTTTCTATGGTCATGGTGTCTCTTCACAACAAGAGCAACCCTAACTGAGACATTATTTGGTACCAGGGACTGGGATATTGCTATAATATGCCTGACCAGATTTTTTTGGAGGAATTTGGACTTTGTTACTTTGGTATAGTAAAGTAGTATAATGCTTTAAATACTCCTTAATGGGCTATACTAGTAGGAAGATGGACAATCTGAACTGTGGGACCCCTGCTCAAGAAGTTTCAGAGGAGAAGAATTTTAGTATGTTACCTAGGGATGGTTCTTTTGATATTTTGCCAAAGAATGTGACTGCTGTTTGTCCTTGTCTGAAAAGTCTGCCTGTGGCTAATTTGAAGAGATTTGGATTAATTCCATTGGCAGATGAAATCTTAAAAACAGCCTCATATAGACTCTATCATTTGCTTATTAGTGTTAACTTTAATGAAGATTTAAAATGAAAAAGAGCAAGCTGAGCAAGAAAAAATCAAAATTCACAATTTGAGGAGAAAGGGAACACAAGGAAGTAGAATGGAGCTAAGTCTTGTGTTCAAAGAGATAAACAGATGAAGAAATGGAATAAAGGGAGTGGTGATGTCAGGGCAAGATCCCACCCAACTATGATTTCAACATGTGAAAAGGAATTAAAGAAAGTCTTAGATCCAGGTATGGTGGTGTACACAATTAACCCCAATGGTCCATAGGCAGGCTGGTGAATCTCTGAGTTTCAGGCAAGCCTGAACCACAGAGCAAGTTTCAGAACATCCAGGGTTAGTCAGTAAAGGAAACCATGGAAAACAGAAAACTGATGAAGATGTCATTGAACAGGTAACTCCAGCCACTGCAAGCAGTAGAACTTGTCAGGTTTGGCCACATGGTTATGGCTTTACAATCAAGAAGTGACCAAGCAAAGCTATTTAGGCTATGCAGGTGTCATGGGTATCCCTGAATGGAAGCCTAGAGAGGCCATTTCATGAAGCTGTGAAGGTGAAAACTGAGTTGCCTTGGAAAACTCAAGATATTGGAAATGCCAGAGTCATAGGATATCTGCTAAGGAAAGCTGCTAACAGAAAGTAGAACCAGCCCAAGAGATAGAAGTATGTTACAAGTCAACCAAGCTGAAAGGAGTTGGAGGTCTGAAGAACATTTTGATATCAGACATGGAGATGCCGAGTGTGGAATTTGCCCAGTGGTTTTTCAGTCTTGCTTTGGTCCAGTATTTCCTCACTATGCCCCCTTCCCTATATTTTGAAATAGTAATATGTATTCTGTGCCATTATATATTGGAAGTACATATTTTTTTTTTAATTTTCATTTTATGAGGCATTGCAGTTAAGAGATTGCATGAGTTTCAGAAGAGACTTTAAATATTGAACATTAAAACATGTTGATACTTTGATAGACTGGGAACTTTTGAAGTTGGACTAAACGAATTTTGCATTGTGATATTGTTACAAGCTTATAGGGTCCAGAGAGTGGAATGTGGTAGTTTGGATGTATTTGGCCCCATAATCTCATAGAGAGTGGCACTATTAAGAGGTATAGTTTTGTTGGAATAGGTATGGCCTTGTTGGAGGAAGTGTGTCACTTTGGGGTTTGGCTTTGAGGTCTCCTATGTTCAAAGTATGCTCAGTGTGACACACATTTCACTCCCTGTTGCCTTTGGATCAAGATGTAGAACTCTCAGCTTGTTCTTCAGCACCATCTCTGGCTGCGTGCTACCATGTATGTATGCCATGGTGATAATGGAGTAAGCCTCTGAAACTGCAAGCCACCCCAATCAAATGTTTTCTTATATAAGAGTTTCCATGGTCATGCTGTCTCTTTATAGCAAAAGAAACCCTAACTAAGACAAGGGATGTAGCAAGTCACCATTTATCAGGAATTTCTGAGCATCTTAACACTAACCAGATTTGAGTGACCACACCTTTGGCGGGATTAAGATCAGAGTGCATTTGGGAGGACATGTTAAACAGACAAAAGAGCAAATCTCATCTCACCCTCAATATGTGGTTAATTTAAATCTTGGTCTTTGTCTAATGAACATCAGCATCCCCTTCCATAAAAACTGTATGAAACTTCACTACAGAAATTTGAAAATGAAGGTAGAATCCCATGCCTACATATGTGCTTACAAATTCTACTTGTCACTGCAGTTGTTACTAGATGTGACATCATATATTTATTCTTTGCCATTGTTAACTGCAGCAAAATCCATAAAGGCACAAGATGGCATTGTCTCTAGATTGTTCTTGCCCTTCCCATGAAATATCTACTTAAGGAGCAGAAACCTTTATACTAGTGGCTCTCAACTTTCCCAATGCTATAGCCCTTTAATACGAGTTCCTCATGTTGTGGTGACCCCCTCAACCATAAAATTATTTTTGTTGCTACTTCATAACTGTAATTTTCTACTGTTATGAACAGTAATATAAATATCTGATATGCACAATATGGTATGTGGACCCATGTTGTTCCACCATCAGAGGGATCTCGACCACACAGGTTGAGAACTACTGCTCTATACCCTGAAATCCTTCTCCTTCTTAATGATCCTCTCACTAAGTTGGCCAGTGGCTTTTACAGCACTGTAAGCACTTCTTCCACAGGGGCTAATTGCAGAGAGCTGATGACCATGATAAGGAAGAGTGCCAGGGCTCAGTGAAGTACTGTGTCATTAGATAGATTTCTGAGGGAAAGAGAAATGTCTGGCCCCTGAAACTGTTCTAATGCAGACCTGTGCAATCTAGGAAAGTTATGTCCTGAGAGTGAAGTTGAACATGGTTCTGCTTTGGCTGGATTTTAAGGACCTTGGGGTCTCCTCCTGGAGAAATGTCCCTGGCACATTAATTGGTATTCTGGTTGTTTTCAGCAGGCTGTGCCCTGCTGTTCTGAAACATACCGTGTTGTCATTCCTCAGCTTGGTGGCCTAACAGTTCTATCAAGGGAATAATTTCAAATATTTCCTATTGCTTCACAAAATGTATCAAAAAGACTTTCAACCCAGGTTGTTTATTAGAACCTTCTGGAGTCATAGATATTTCTGATACCAAAATTCATATCAGACCAATGAAAGGAACCTGGATCTGGGATTTCTCTCAGTTTCCCAGATTATTTCAAAGAGCATTTAGTGGAGAACCTCCAACTCCACCCTAAGTTCATTGATAATTAAGGCCTGGAGAGGGAGAGTAAAGAGTCCAAGTTCACATGGCCAATTAGTAACACAGCTCACACTGAAAATATGTCCTACAAGTCAGCAGTCCCTCTAAGTATGACTTTACTCCTTCAGTATATCCGGTCTACATACTGTGCTGGCAGGGAGAGGGTACCATGTGAGGGAGGCCCCTGTGGCACACATCAAAGAGTAGCAGTGCTGGGATGCATATGTGGACAGGCTCAGTCTTCTGCCCTGTAGAGCACTGAACTACCAATGCCGTGTAATGATCCCTGATATCAACATCTAGGTTGTGTCCATAATATTGACCAGGTACCATGGCTGTCATCATCACATAAAAGGAAACAGGACTCCACAATGAGTAGTTTCTCACTCATGGCTTCCTGATTTAAGTCTCCTAGCAATTCTCTGGATTGTCATAGCACCCTGGAAATTGGGTGTAGGTGTATAAGCCTGTGTCCATGTCAGAGGAGCCACAGGTGACAATTGACTTCAGGGGAATCGGTCAACCAGCATGCAAGGCATCGATGGGTGTTCTCAGATAGGCAAGATCCCAATGGCTTCGGCCACAGAATGTCTTTTGTTACTGCTGTGCCTTTACATGTTTGCTGCTGCTGTTTTTCTCTAGTGTATGGCATGGTGTGAATGGGTAGGGGGAATCCTCACTGCCTTTAATGTAGTGTGATTATCTCATAGAAATATTCTGTTCTACTGGGCATTTTTCCATGTGAATTACAAAAGTGATTTCCTTCCAATCTGTACTGTTGAACTGAAGTGATGATTTTAAACAATTATAGTGTTAGTTTAAATAGGATTTTGATGATTGAGAGTTTTTAATAAATATTGCAAGGTATTATGATAATGGCTCCCTTAGTGGGAAAACTAATATAGGTAAAAGCAAGATATGTTGTCACCCCCACCCTTAATAAAGCATGGCCTGCAGAGGATAGAAAATAAGAAAAAGGAAATGTGACATAGCTATTTTCTCTTGAGAAGCTGTATAGACTGTGCCTTAGTTTAATGATTAAGAAAGAAAATTGTGTACCAGATCTAAGATAGCTCAAGTTCTTTTAATCTTAATGTTGAGAGCTGTGTTCATGGGTTTCAGTGTGCATCATGGCTGAAACAAAGTTTTAGCTATGACTTAGGTTAGGTTAAGATGTTTTCGTTAATAGATTTGAGGTGAAAACTGGTGGAAAAATTTAAAGTTCAGAAAGGCAGGTAGTTGAATGAGTGACTCAAGGTCAAGGAACAAGAGTAAAGCAGCCCAGTTATTACTAGCTAACATGCCTTCCTTGTAAGGATGGGTTGACAATCAAAGATGGTGATTAATTATTTGTGCCTATTTCAGACTTCAGATTCCTGATATAAAAAAAAACTGTTGCCGGGCGGTGGTGGCGCACGCCTTTAATCCCAGCACTCGGGAGGCAGAGGCAGGCGGATCTCTGTGAGTTCGAGGCCAGCCTGGGCTACCAAGTGAGTCCCAGGAAAGGCGCAAAACTACACAGAGAAACCCTGTCTCGAAAAATAAAAAATAAAAAAAAAAAACTGTTGATGAATTAGTATGCATCCTGAGGATTTAAAATAGAGATGACATTCTTTTTCATATATAAAAATTGAGATTTGTGATTCTTCTAAGATTTCTTAAAAGATTACCTTTTGAGATAAGTAATGAAATGACTGCCCCTTTCTCTGTAACCATAAAATGCAGCATGCCAGGAAAAGAACTGGCTAAGAAACATACTTTGCTTGCTTACACACTGTTAATCTATAACAAGTTGCCTGGGTATGAATGTATGTGGGCTTTTGGGACAACTTGTTTTTCATGTGCAATACATAAAATGTTTAATCATGTAAGGGATATGGAAAACATGTTGGATTTTATTTGTATTCATTGTAATCATTCCCTTAAAAAATAGAATGTAACCACATTATAATTTTTATACTGCTTAAAATATTTTGCTGGGATACATAATCTGTAAGACAAAAATTAAGTTATTTAGAAGGAAGACATTAAGAGAGACAGAAGGGATAAATCTAAATAGAAGTAAGGAAAAAAGAAAGAACAGAGAGAAAAGATGACAGAGAGACCCTAAAGGTGTGTGTGTGTGTGTGTGTGTGTGTGTGTGTGTGTGTGTGTGTGTGAGATTTCCCTTTTTTGCTGGCCTCAGAGGATAAAGTTTTACTCCCTCGGATAGAAAATTCAAATTGAGTGATTAGTCCACTGACTCCAGGGCTCCTCTTCAAACCATGAGCTGCTAGAGGCTGATCCTCATGGCAGCGATATGTATACATTATACAGAAGGAGAAACTGAGGTTCAAGTTCAGTAAGCTATCCAGGGTTTTAAAACCATGATGCCACCTGGGTCTGTGCCAGATGGTATATAGAGGGCCTAGCCTTTACCTCCAAAGGGTCTGTGGTCATCACCAGGCCACAGATGAGGACACTGAGGCTGAAACAGAGACTCTGTCCCAACTTCCCTGCTGTGTCTCAGAGGCCATTTCCTGTGCCCTCACTTTCTCTACCACAACAAAGCAACTGTCCCCACTTCTGTAACCCTGCCACTCACTCTGACTCTTCTCTAAGAATCTAAGTTGAGGAATTCTAGGCCAAATCCCTGTTCCAGGGGTCTCCAGACAGGAGGTTCTTATTCCAGGGGCCTCAGGCTCTGGGAGACCAGCCTTTTTCCTTCTTCCATGGACAGATGGCATTTTAAAGACTAGATACAGGAGGCAGCTCCATTCTCTGACTGCTGCTTAGGGAATAAACTATGTAGGTTGTATACCGTGTATTCCGTGTTAGTCTGTGATGCAGGGCACTTTGTTAACATCTTGATTATTCCTCACCTGCTCACAAGTCAGGTGTCCTCTGTGAACCTCAGCATCTTCTCTAAAGGGAAGAAGTGACCTCTCCCCTATAGCACATGCTTAGGGAGAAAATGACATAACAGAGATGTGGCACACAGCACATTGTGTTTTCCCCTCCTTCCATATACTCTGTCATCAAGGGTATCCTTCGGGCAAATGACATGGCAGACGAAGTATGACTGGAAGCTTATGGACTGCATCTTAAATGAGCCACTTGCTGGTTGGGGTTGCCTAAGAAATCCATGACCTAGAACTTTATTGTCCTTATTTGTGACATCTATCGAGTTAGGATGAAGCCACTCTCCCTGTCCCTCTCCATTGAGGGGTTGTGAGACTTGTTACAGCTGCACACAGGTGAGTAACAGGTAATGTGCTGATAAACCAGTGCACCCTGAAACCCAGCAGGCCTTGACCACAGGGTTTGTGCCTTATCGCCAGGACTGTGGTTTAATGGGGTCATCCACTGTGGATGCTTCTGTAGAGACAAATTGAAACAAATGTACCATTCCTGAGCTGGGATCTGAATTAGTGTGTGTCTAACTGCTAGATTATGATGCTTTGTTTACAGATGGCAATTGTTATCAGTTCTAATATGGAGTGAAGTTATGGCTACCATTGGGATAACTTTCCAGTCACTACTATTAGTATCTGAGTATAAGTAACATCTTGAAACCTTGGGTAATTGCTGATGAATGGAAATACTGGCTGAGTTTGAGAACGTCTGACTTGGCATCTCTTATGCATCAGGCTTCTAAGTTGAGATGGAGTCTCATGCTTGGACAGCAAGAAGCTGGCCAGGAGTCAGATGTAGGTTCAAGAACAGATCTCAGAACAATGAACATAATGGCTATGTGATCATGGACATGGCACTGGAGCACAGGGCTCACATCTCAAACAGGACAGGGATGGGTAGTCTGACTGTCCTTCATTCTGTAAAATTCCCAGAATCAAGACTTAGAAAGAAAACCTGAGGCTTCTGTCAGGAAATTCAAATTGAGTGTCTTGTTGCTTCAGCTGATGACTGGAGATCTTCCACATGGAGACACTCCAGGATATAAGCTTACAGTGCCCAGAACCCTCAGTTCCTGAGAGTTGGTCCCTGACATAAAACATTTTCAGACACATCCAAGTCATAAGCCTAGCTTGGTGCCAGCATCTAAACCAGGGCTGAGGCATTCCACAGCGAATGTGAGCATGTTATGGAATGTTCTCAGTGTGTTGTGGATGAAGAGGAAATGAGAAAAGGACACTGCACCCTGACCCTGTCACTTTCTGCTTTGATGTGCTTTACCTCTTGGGAGGAGGAGACACATACCTTGGGGGTAAAGAGCTCCTGCTTGCCTGCTACCTGGCATCTCTGTGGACATCTAGATGGAACCTGTCATAACTAGGTCCTGTGTCATTAGGGCAGAAAGGAAAGACTTACTCAGGTGGGGAAATACACTCTGGATGCAGTAGGCTAGGTCTGACCTGTCCCTGGACAGGGCAGTCAGCTCTTAGAGTCTTATTGTAGCCAGTAGGCTGGACTATGCTGGGACAGACAGAAAACTAAGCACGGCTGGGCATTCAGACAAGGGTATTAATTTACCCCCATTTACCAGAAGGGGACTTCTAGCCAAGAGGATGTCTAGGCCTCCGCTCCCTTGGTCCACAGTTGGAATAAAGTCACCCTATGAATATGAGGGTCACTTCCACACTTGCTTCTTCCTTGTTGCTCACAGAAACTTGGGCACATTTTGACCTGTTGGAGATATCAGGGATGCGGAGGACAAAGTGGTACTTACCAAGCACATTCAGCACTGTGCCTCCCCCAGACATAATCTCCCTGTCAGATTCTGTTCTGTCAATCTTCACACAGTAGTAGGTACCAGCATCAGCAGGTGTGACATTACTGATGCGGATGGAAAAGTCCAGGTTGTTTCTCTTTGTAGTATCTGCAACATCTGTGACTCTGGGGAACTTATCTCCTGTGAAACTATATATTAGGTGCCGACTCTGCCCTGTACCCCTGAACCACTGAATGGGCCCCACAGGGAGCAGGGAGGTCACAGTGCAGTTCAGAGTAGCTGAGTCTCCAACAGCAACAGAAACTGATTTCTCAGGCTGAATCACCTTCAGCTCCTTCTGTGTAGCTGCTCCTGCAGGAAACATCAGTCAGTACTCATCCTGATGGGAACCCAGAGGCTCCTCTAGTTCATAATCATATACTGCTACTTTACTAGAGCTTAGCATGACATGATCACAGTTCTCCTCACCCAGGACCTCTGAACACAAGGATTAACACACAGGAGCAAACTGAGTCCCCGACACTGAGAACTCAGCAGGATTCTGACTGAAGCCCCAATTCAGTTTGCAATTCTCATGCTTCATCCAGTATCTGTTGGTTTTCCCCTTCCATGCACATGGCATGAGCCCTTCTCGTGTAATAGTATTGGGTGTGATTCATGGGACTCTTTAAAGCTAGTTAGATATGAGTGTAAGAGCTGGATAAAGTTAATGAGATGTATGTTTGATTACAAGATTCTTTAGGCCAGGCCTGTAACTCACGATGGGGTTGCTTTATCAGGTGAAGTGATAAGTCCATAGATAGCTCCCAATGTGCAATAACATGCACCTTCATTAGAGAAGTAAACCCTCTGCTCGATACCAGTTCTTAAAATACATGTTATAATCACAGTAGTTAGCTAATTAATTTTATGTGTGAGTATTTTCTTCCATGTATTTCTGTGCAACAAATGCAAGCCTGGTGGTCAAGGAAGCTAGAAGAGGATGTCACAACCCTTGGAACTGAAGTTATAGATAGTTATAAGTCACCATGTGGGGCTCAGAATTTTACCTGGGTCTCATGGAAGAGTAGCAAGTGGTCTTAACCCTTGAACCATTTCTCCAACCCCAGCATTATATTGACTTTAATGATGATATAATAGATTCCTATAAAGTTAATGGTTTGACACAACAGAAATATTTTATTTCATGCTTTGGAGGTCAGAAGTTCTAATTTGGTATGACAAGGCAACTGTCACAGGGTCACAGCACTCCACCCTCCATGAGGTCCTTTTTGTTTCCTTGCACATGGTGTGGACAAGGCTGTGCTCTCCCTTGTCACCTGTCTTCCCATCACAGCACCTTATTTACTCAGTGACTCTAAGTCCCATAACACTGACACTTCTGACCCCTTCTTGGATGGACTTTGATGATCTGGTAGGTGCACTGAATTGTACTCATTGTACTACACTACTGGACAAAGACTGTACAACATTCATTTGAGATATGAAAAGTGCAAAAGGAAAAGTAAGGAAAAACACTAAAGAAAGTGAGAAGTCTCTAGCAAAATATAACACCAAATGGAGATAACCTGTGAGCTGGAAACAAATGTCATTCAGGAGTTGAGAAGTACATAACTTAGTCCATTAGTCCTATGGACAGGATCCACAGAGGATTTAGTAGGTTACAAATAATATCTAAAACCATGGAAATGGACACCATAGCATTACTTAATTAGCACTGCAGGGGAATGGGGTACAATAAAGAGAAGAAATTGAAGAATTTGGAGTATAGTAGCAAAATAATTAGAAAAAAACTGTTGTCTAACACCTTCCTGGTTTATTAAAATATAAGAACTATAAATCTAACAAACAGACTAATTCAATGTGAGATAAACTCAGAGAGACTCACACCAGTGCACACTAGAATCCAACAGACAAAAGAGGAGTAACAGAGAATGCTGAGAGCAGCCTGGAGCATGATTCATCTCATCTTGCTAATGATGTGAACACAGCTCATATCAGAAATGTCAACATCCAGGAGAAAATGAGACAGTGTGTGTATTCACAGTTCTAAAAGAAGAAAACTACATCCAGGATTTAAGTAAAACCAAGGATTCCACACATGGCAACACTATGGGTCCAAAGCACGATAGAAAACATGCTGTTCCTAGTTAAAAACCTATGTACATTAAAATGATACCTCCCATAGAGGAAATGTTAATGGGCTCCCTTGTGTTGAAATAAGGGATCCCAGAGAATAAGGCCCAGTTCAAAAGACACAACAATTTCTGTCTGTATGGTGACATTTTAAATTCATAAAGTATCCTGAGCTCCCAGCTTCCATTTAGCTGTTTGGTAATGGAGGCTCTAATCTTCTACCTTGTAGTCCTCCTTAACAGCCTTAGGGAGGCAGGTCATGCACCTGGAGCTGGTAGGATGAGGGATGGGCTCAGACCTCACAGTCACTGTAGGTCTCCAACAAAAATATCTGATGTGGAAAATCTGCTTCCCTACATAACTTAGGCCCAAAGCAAAAAGCAACTTTGTGAAATTAAAACCTTGTGTAATGAAATAATGCCAGATCTAGCAAACATGTGTATAGTCTTAGAAAACTTACTGATTAAAAAATGAAATATGGGAAAAATAATGGGAATGGGTTAGATTATATTACAAAATATAACTTATATTTTTGACATCGCTATGTACACCAATTATATAAATAATTTTGTCGAAATTCTATAATTTGTTCCAACTGGATATCCTAAATTTATATAATCAATTCATACAATAAGATTTTTGTTAGAAAAGACCATAAAGGTTAAAAATACCTAATTAGCTTTTGTACTAAGATAACGCAAGTCCAGAATTTGAAAAATATACCAACTCTCAGAATTTTATGGACTGATTTAATATAGTATTTAAAAGCAAAATTGTAACTTCAAGTTTCATTGAGCAATAGGACCTATAATGTTGACACAGGAATATAACAGAAAGTATAGAAACGGTAAGTATGACTTGCTTCTCCAGTAGGCTTGCTTAAACAGGACACATTTGTAGGAGCCGTTCCTCTGCTACATTTCTTAGCATAGATGCTATAACATAATGAATAGAAGCTAAAATGAAATAATGTTTTTGACACTTACAAAGTACTTTGATAAATTTAATTCTCTGAAGGTAATATGGTAAATCTGGGGAAATGTGAAAGTCAATGCCATCTCTCACAAAGAACTACAGCAATGGCCAGCTGCACTTTGAGGTAACCAACTGTGGGAGAGGGAAGGAAGTCATCAAGGGAGGGACTAGAACCTGCCTTTCTAGGATGAGAGCACAGGAAACTGAACTAAGTATCCCGACACCTGTGGAATGTACTTTGTAGAGTGGACATGAGAATTTCAGCTAACTCTCTTTGCATGGATGTGGGTGATCATAGCGAATGGAAGCATCCAGTCATTACAGGCTTTAGCTGATTTAGGGAGACCAGCTGGAGTCTGCACAGCAGCCTTGATTGGGAGAAACACCATTCTTCTTCTCTGTCCTATCCCCAGGTTGCAGTAGCTATATACTGTCTAAGCAAGGGAATTGTTTCTGACTTCACACAGGTAGGGTTGTGGATGATAATCAGTCCTCATCTGTGAGTCCACAGAAATCCCAGCACACTAGCACAGGGGTTCAAGCCTCAGCATTCAACTTACCCAGCAGAACCATAATGACAGCAACACTCAAGCCTGTCATGTGTCACAATGATGCCGGCGAAAAGTGTTTCAGCAAAGAGGGGAACAGAGCATGGTACATAACAGTAAAAGTGAAGGATCTTGTATCTCTTCTCAATAGCCTCTAGTTCATAGTCAGTATTCAATAAATTCTCCCCTATGTATGATTTGCTCAGTGTGACATCTTCCCATGTCACTGAACCCCACTTTTAATTGTAACTTACGTAGAAATAGAAAACTAGTTTCCTATGTGAATGAGCTTTCCAAAGAAAAGCTGTTTGCATGTAAGGAGGAACCTGAGGAGCCTAGAAGCAGATTAGTATAGACCCTGTCCTCACTTCACCAGGCTAAAACTCATGACATAGATCTGGGAAGAGTGATTGTTAATCCCATGACTTCAGTCAGACAGCCTGAGTTCAAACCACAGCTCTAGACACTGCCATTAGAGTTGTTTCTTCTTCTTTTTCTTTTTCTGTGTCTGTAGCAGTGTGATAAGAGCATTAGCCTGACATGTAGGTCCATATGACATAGAACAGTGGAGGACTTTCTACAGTATCTGGGACATGGTGACTGTTCATGACATTGAAAAGTAATTTCAGCCGGGTGGCAGTGGTTCATGCCTTTATTTACAGCACTCGGAAGACAGAGGCAGGTGGATCTCAATGAGTTCGAGGCCAGCCTGGTCTACAGAGAGAGAGATCCAGGACAAGCAGCACTGTTACACAGAGAAACCATGTTTCGAAAAAAACAAAAAGAAAGAAAGAAAGAAGGAAGGAAGGAAGGAAGGAAGGAAGGAAGGAAGGAAGGAAGGAAGGAAGGAAGGAAGGAAGGAAAGAAGGAAAGAAGGAAAGAAGGAAAGAAGGAAAGAAGGAAAGAAGGAAAGAAGGAAAGAAGGAAAGAAGGAAAGAAGGAAAGAAGGAAAGAAAGAAAAGTAATTCCTCAGTTGATTTTTTTGAGTCATGGATCATTCACTGACACTGGATAATCTGTGCTGCACAGTGTCATGGAGCTGGGAGCAGATTATGGAGCTGCATCTAGCTGCAGATACAGATGTGGACCAGGAGATAATTGTAGCTTCCTAAATTAGCTTCCTATTAATTTGAAAAATACCTGGGACCAATAATTCAAAGGAATAAATATGTCCTCTGTCTCCATGTTTCAGAGTTCATGGAAGATAGTGTTTACTGGCTCCATTGCTGTGGCATCAGGGGAGGCAGAACCTCCTCATGAAGTCAATATGTAATGCAACAATATTGCTCATGTCCATCTTACGTTCTAAACACCAGTCATTTCTCACAGTAGTGCCATTACCTGGGAACAAAGCCTGTAATACATGAATTTTTTAGTATATTTCAGATTAAAAGTATAACATTTGTGCTAGATAATTCCCAATATTAAAGTAAATTCTTAAGGTAAATCAACCAATAAAAGTAGAAGTTGTACTAAATATCACAGGTTAGAAATTTCAATCTGCTGGCCATCCTCTTGCATTGGAGCCTATAGGAAGACAGGTGATCATGGTAAGGAGACAGCATTACAGCAAAACAGGGCTGGAGCATGACTAAAAAGACAGAGCAAAGGCACACAATGTCTGTCAGTGACATATTCCCCTTTAATGTTATGTGTATTGGTGTTGTCCTTGTTCAGGTAATAGTGTATGTACTGAGCAAATTGT